TATCGACGTACGCGCGAGCGAGCGATCGTCCGACAAATATTTCGGATGAAAACGTGGTCGACTAACAACACTTTCATCCGGAATGGAAAAAAAAAAAGAACAATAGCCATCCGGCCGGATTTCGTGTTATTTGCAACGGCGTTGCGCAAGAAATTACACGGATGGGAGGGGAGGAGGGACGATACGAAATTATTTTCTTCCCTCGGTTCCGCGCGATTCCGCGTGTGTATAATTTTCGCGAGTTCTCACGAGAATTTAATTCGCGACGATTCACCTTTATTTCGCGTCCCTTTATTTCCAGGTTGCTCGTAACTTCACAGAGTAATTGCAGAATTCAGCCGAGGGGAAGTTAATCTGAAACTCGTTAAATCTGTCTGTCGTTGAAACGCAAGTTGCCTTGGCGTGCTCTCTGTGCACGCGTCATTCGAAGGGATTGATTCACATTTTCGCGCGTACTCGTGCGATTAATTCCTTCTCTCTCTCTCTCTCTCTCTCTCTCGCTCGATAAATTTAACGGGGGCGCGTTTGTTCAAAACGCATGAAGATTAACCTCCATCATACAGATCATTTTCTATTTTTTCATCCCGCGTCGAGTAATTTTTTACTTTTCCGCAGTTATTATCGCGGACGTTCCAGACTTCGCGGGAAATGCGTTGATATTTTAGGAAAACAGGAAGTTAGAAATTTTGGATGGCTCGCGGATGAATGCGCCGCGCTCGCTCGCGGCGCGGATATTAAAGCCCGCGTCGCATAAATCGTCGGCGGAATCATTCGCCAATTTTCATCGTTGTGGGCGAAAAATAAAAAAAACAACTTGTTCGTCGTATTTACGAGCGGCGTGACTTCGGCGAGCCGAAAGAATTCAGAGGAAACGAGGGCCGCGCGGTTGGCTTCCTTCCTGGCCGACAGTGATACCGCGAATATCAGACCGGTTGAATCAGCGGGGACGGTATTTCCGGCGGAAATTAGCGATCGATCAGATGAGCCGGCTATCTCTCTCTCTCTCTCTCTCTCTCTCTCTGCAACCGTGCTTCTCTGCAGCCGCTCGGCAGCTGTTTCGCAGCTCGCTGATTGCGACGAACGAATGTTATCGGCTGCCGCGACGACGGCGATACTGTAATAATAATACCGTACATGGCGAAAAACTAATTTCGCAATACCCGGGAAAATTGTTATCGGCCGGAAGTACACCTGACGTTTGGCGCGCCGTTACGACTGGTTTATTTAATACGCGCGGAATTCCGCGTCAACTCTGCGAGCGCGCGACCTGCGAGTGATAAATATAATTAACGTGCGTATTCTGAAAGCCCATTCGTAGGTCGAGCCTCTGTGCGAGCGTTATAATTATAATTCGCCATGTTCGCTCGTTAACATCGTGACAGACGAGGTGCGCAACGATGTGTACACGGTGTGCTGTTGTTGCAGCAGAAGCGTGTCGCGAAAACCGTGTTTATCGGAGATATCGCGCGATGAAGAGGGTGAGAAACAAACGTCTGACGATTCCGGCGGAAATTATCCCTCACCGTGTATCTTTTTAACATCTTAATCTTAAGCACCTTTATCCTCTTCTATTTCAATTGCGCGAAAGTATCATGTACCGGAAAAAGTTCGCTCACCCGATACTAATGAAGATCTATGAAAAATTATGAACATCATTACGAATATAAATATACTTTTAAGTCTTTAGACTGGCATTCTGTAAAGGAGTGACCTCGAATTTTCTTTTCTCTTAATAATTTTCCCTCCGGCGGCTCGTAACTTGTATTTAATATTCGTCGGAAGGTAAATCTTCACAGAGGGTAAACGGATGTAACGTGAACAAGATCGGTCGCGCCAGCAAGCATAATGTATCGCCGGGACGGAAAAGTGAGTCGCCGACGGCGGCCTGGTCCGCGCGAAGTATGAAAATGTGCGGGACTTATGAGACTTCACGGTGTTCCCAAGTTTCTATTACGTCAATTCCAAGTTGTGAGAAAAACTATTTTCAGCGCGACAGAAACTTCATCCCCCTCCTCTCATCTGTCGTAAACGGTGAGTTATGCGTCCGACGCATCAGACGATACTTAAGAAACATCCTGTATATTTATTCACTTTCTACGACAGCGTAAAATTTATCACACCTCGAGATGCTCCGTGTTGCTCGATCGATTTCGCAAACTCGTTGCAACTTATTCGTTGTGAATTGGCTTATTTATCTCGGCTACCTGCCGAATTATTTATCTCGCAATTTACCGATTTGTCGAAAAATTCATGCGACACAACGAGAAATTTGCGCCGCCGTTTCTCCGTCCGAAATTGCCGAACTTTCGAACATCGTACGTACGTTCGCGCTCAGTTCGGAGTTTCAGCGGGTTTTGCGTGACTTCCCACCGAAATGAGCGCAGCGCACACGTACGAGGTCGCGTGTGCCTCGTCCAGGGATAAGTAGGAAACGAGGAGTGGGAAGCGGGGACGGAACAAGGGCTTCCTCCCGTGATAACGTTGCAAGTCGGAAAGTAAGTTCGCGGCGTGTCGCGACAGACGATCCGAGAGATATCCGTGGGAATTATGATCCCCGAGAGATACGGTTCGAGAAAGGATGTCGGGAAAAGGAGGGGTGGGGGGGAGTAACTTCGCGACATCTGACTTTCCTGACTAAATAATTCGCTCCCGATAACGGACGAGGTCCGGTGGGCCGCCGGTATCCGTCTGCGAAAAACCGCTCCTCGGCAATTACGTATCAGTCGCAGCCCTCACATCCCTACATCCTCCGAATCCGCAAAATGTACAGGGTGCTCTCCCTCGATACGCTGCGTTTTTCCATGAGCAGAGTCACTCCGTGACGAGTGCACCGATGAAAACATATTTGGTATTTGCGACTATAATCGTACAGCAAAATTATTATTACAGTCCGGTGAATTATTTTTGTAGTAAGTGTTACTATATCGTCGGTGATAATAACACTTGCGTGTATTGTTTTCGAAGAAACAAAGTGACGGTGCTGACGAGAAAATTGATTCTTCCCATTTTCCGCTTTGTCTTTTGAGATCATTCGATTTCCTCCCGCAGCGCAACGTGCGGCACAAATTTAGTCCGACTCGGCACACTTTCAATTTTTCTTCACGAAAAATTCACATAATCGCGGCATCTACTTCGCACGCGTGAAGACGCGCTATCCTCAGACACCGTATATACGCTCTTCGCTCGAATCATATCCTCTCTTTCCTTCTAATCGAGCCGAAGATAACGCCGCCGGTTTTCCACCGTCTATCGTCCATTACGGCGTGTCCCGATTGTAATGGCTCCCCGGGATACTCAGATCGCCGTAATTTGATCCCCGTTTTAAGATAAGGACCATATTAACTGCGCGATGGCCTAAGCCACCACCACCATCAACGTCGCCCCACCCCTTCTCTATCCACGAACACTTTCCTTTGTGAGCACGCGGTCAGATGGGGGGATGATGGCATATGCGTTTCGACCGCATCACTACGGTACCATTAACATTTTAATCACTCGCGTAATGTCGCCCAGCGCTAATTATGCCTAACTTCTAAGATTCCCTTCATCGTCTAGTACAGGATTATAGCCCGCGAAGAGGCGATGGCCGGCTAAAGTTAATTAAGCTCTAAGCTGAGATTGCGTCAAATCGTATGTCTGGTACACATCAAATAAAAGAAAAAAAAGCGAATGGTACATTAATTTCGCAAAAGTAACCTGTGAATATTAGACTCACCGGATTCTTTACACGGAGAGAATATTATATATTGAGAAATATATACATGTATATATAATGTTTTATAAAATGTATATATTATGTATATATAAAAGTTTCGGCTATCGAGTCGAATTTCGATTCTGCGTTAAACTTTTATGTCTACAAGACAGCGGAAGCTGAGGTAACAAAGTAAATTCAATTCTAATGATATAATTTATTTCCGTTTTGATTCTGATGATGTCTTAAATTTCCGTTTTCACTGTGTTAGTGTCGAAAATAAGTTGTTCAGAATAGAAGTTGTAGTATTGAAGTTAAACCTGTAAGAGAGTTAGTGTCGCTAACAAATATTACCTATCGTCGAAGCAGGTTTTCACTAATCTACAATCTATCTAAGCAGGCGCAAACTATTCCGAAGGGTGTCGAAATAACATCGGAATTTCAACTAGTCGTGTAAGATCACGTAAAACCACTTCGTTGGCGTCGATGAATTAATATCCCTTTCTCCCCTCTCCCTCGCTCGCCTTGTCATCTCTTCGTGACATCCGTGACACTCCAGAAGCACGTCGCGGACGACCGCTGACAGGCAGCGGCAACGGCGGTGGTCCAACGGCGAACGGAAAGGACGTCGGGCGCGCCGAAAATTGATGGTTAATTCAAAACCACCGCGGGGGCTGCAACTGAATTTGGCCGAGGCAAATAATACGGGGCACGAGTGGCGCGACGGGAGTGTCAGGGGGTTAGGGTGCACCGCGACAGGGGGGATGAACACAGCGGCGGTGCGCCAGGTTGATTCGCGGACTGCAGCTGTAAACACGAATAATGGAGAGTACCGATCGGTAAATTGTGTGCTCGGCTTCGTCGAGGGTGGTCACGCGCGCGCGAGCGTGGTTCTTGTCACCCTTCGTTCTCTCCCTCTTCCTGTTCCGCTTACACGCTGTCCCCGTTGACCCTTAAACCCCGTTGCCTCGTCGTGTGCTTCTTTCGGCGCCTCTAGTCAATCAGAGCGAAATTGTAAATACAAACAAAAATGTCAACGTTTTTAAAGTGTCTCAATAATTTTTTAATTTTTTGTTTTTAACATTTTTCTTTCTTTTTGTCCTTCGCGATAATCTGTGATGCTTTCCTGCGAACTTTCATTCTTCGTATTCTCTTGCCCGGCTATACGTTTACTCGCAAGCAGCGACGAAAAAAAAAAAATGAAGGGAGAATTCCCATTGCAATTCTTCTTTTTTTCTTTTACTTTAGAAAAACGAGCGATCAAATATGTATGCACTTCCGGTGCAATACCCTCTTCTGCTTTCAGCTACAGCGAGAACGTCCAAAGGCTTTCGAAAGCTTACCGTGATCGACCTGCTACACCGTTGGAGACTGCGGTATGGTGGACGGAATATATTGCCCGCGGCAACGGCGGTCCTTACCTGCACAGCTACGGCGCGGATCTCGCTTGGTACCAGTATCATCATATCGACGTCGTGCTTGTTTTGATTATCGTCGTGGCATTGTTCGTCTACATCCTCTTCCGGTTGATCAAGCTGCTGTCGTGTTTGCTTCACGCTGTCAAAGAGGTGTACATCAGCGCGACCAAACCGACGAACAAGTGGAAGAAGGAGAATTAATGACACGGTGGGAACACGGTTTTTCGCCATGAGGACAGGGACACGTTAAGAAAAACAAGTTATTTCACAGAGGACACGAACCGGCTTTCGCATGGAGGGAATAGTGCGTCGACAGGTAGAAATAGATCAGTCGTTGCGAAATTCTCTAGCGGACAGGAAAACTTTTCGCTGTTGCTCTGATATGATATGATGAAATTTCCTGTTTCGTGCAGAATTTTACACACACACACACACACACACACACACACACACATATATATATCTGCATTGCAAATGTTTATTACAACTAATCCCGCTTTGGTACATTTGTTTAGATCAATATTATTCAGACGATAAGAGGAATTCTCAAATTCGCCGGGAGAAAAGCAGAATTTGTAGTCGTTAGTAATGTTTGTAATGTTTGTAATATACACAATTATATGTATACGTTCTTTTTTGCACACTTTTTTGCACGCTATAGTTATTTTTTGCATACTTTCACTAATATCTAAACAAAATTTAGAGGAAGGTTTAACGAGGAGAAAAGTAGCGGTGAGGAAAGCGAACAGAAAGGGATTATGAAGGAAGGAGCAACGAGACAGAAAGTTAGGTGAGGGAAGAGGAACAGCGGAAGAGCGAGAATGAGGAGACAGAAGGTTGGAAGAGAAAGTGAAAAGGACAATGCGAGACAGAGAGAGAGAGAGAGAGAGAGAGAGAGGGATATACTAGAAGACCGTGAAAAGAAAGGGAGGGCAAGAGGGGGTGGATGGAAATTCTGCGAGAATATGGTGGAGAAACGCACGAGAGCGAGGCAGCTTTGCGGGCATTAAGGGGTATTTCCCAGGTGGCCTTGTCTCCCATTGCGTCAACCGGCTTTCGTTCCTGCAGCGGCAACGGCAAGCAAGAACCACGACTGGGGCTGTCGAGTTTACGGTGATGGCGTCGTCGTTTGCAGCGGTGCCGCTTCTCTCTCTCTTTCGTATCACCTGGTTGCATGCCGTACCCGAGGCGCCATTGGTTTCAACTCTCTTCTCATCCGCAGACGCCTGCCTAGTAAAAGAGAGAGAGAGAGTCCACATGTATTCGTGGAATCGACTGTTGCCGAAACAGGCTTGCGCAAGACCGTCGAACGATAGTCAAATCGTGATGTGCGATTAAAGTCCCGTGTCACACTACGCATCGCGGATTCAGATTGTCAACTGCGCATCGTTGACCATCCAATGGATCTCCGGCTATTTCAATTTGATCGACCGGTTATGATTTAGTAATACGAGTCCAATCCGCGTTTGCGATGCGTAATATGAGACCGACTTTGAGAATAGTTTCGCTTCCGATCACGCTTCTCATCTCTCGAAAATCTCTCGAAAATAGTCTCCCACGATAGAATCCTAAGTACAAGTAAAAAATAGAATTTATCTGTTAGATTAGTCATCTGAATCGTATGATTTAAACACTATTTTGTTAGCGACCTCGATTAAAACCACGTGACATATACAATGGTGGTGCAGGAAAGTTGCGAAATTTTTTTCCCGGATGAATTTCGGGACGCATCTCGTATCCATAATAGAATTAATTTATCAATTATTTCCAGGAGATATATTCTGAGCGTTACCACCAGCAATTGATTAGATCGAGTGACACACTTGAGGTGAAAAGAGAGACCTTTTACCAACCGACGGAAAGAGGAAGGTGATTTTGTTACACTACAATGCGCGGTTACACACGGCGAAAACAATCTCGAAAGTCATTCCCCGACAGGGGCTGGGAAATTCTTCCTTACGCGGCGCGTATTCTCCAGACCTCGTCCCTTCGGATCACCATCATCCTTTCCGATCCTTACAACATCACCTGCTGGTTGATTCTCACTTCAAGTCTCCCGAAAAGGTCGACAAAAGCATCGACGAGTTTAACATCAACATCGAAACCACCGTCCTCCTTCCGAAGCGGATTTCGCTAATCACCCGAAAGAAGTAACGGAGACCATCTCGAGGATTGAAAGATTATTCGTTTTTTCTTTCTTCTGTAAATAAACAATATATTCTTCTGTAAATAAACAACATATTTTCCTTAAAAAGCCCGGTAATTAAGTTGTACACCTAATGATTGTCAGATATCCTGTAAATCTCTGTCTAAAAATCCTGAGAAATCTTTTTTCCGTGTATGGCTGCGCACGCACGTACGTACTCTTGTCTATGAAAATGTAAATCCTGATTCTCTAAGGGGGCAACAGGTGCTCGATGTACCAGCCGCGATATCCGGCTTTGTACTCCTCGCTTTCTCCGTTCTCCTGTGGTTTTCTCTCCTGTTGTTCCTTCGCGCTGTCTTATGCGTTTTATAACACGTATTAACGTTTTTGTCGTGCTACATTTATTTAATGCAGCTCCTCGTGGCGGGCGTGCAACGCTTTTTGCAGCCGTGGCTTCGCGTCGTGGGAATAATTAACGCATTTAGTGATGCGCCCGCACGCGCAGCCTGCAATCAGTCCTGTAAAAACTGAAGATTGCGCGCACAATGTCGCGGTAAAAGCGTTCAGTTTTTTTTCTTCGCGGGTCACTTCGTTATCCCGGCCGGTTCACTTCTTCTGTTAGCGATATTTATAAACTCGCGCTACTCGTAGTAAACGAGGACATTAACTGATAAAAATCCCCGAAGATTTCGAACGAAATGTTTGCTTACAATGTCGCGAAGACACGTCGATAAATGTAAATTTATACAATCGTTTGATCTTTTAATTTATCAGTTATGAATATTAATCCGTAAATACTACAAATATAATTCATCTTTATTTATTTTTGTAAAGTATAAGAAAATATATATTTTTTTTTTCATTTGAAAAGAATTTTCATTCGGTGTTAAAATACGTATATTGGTATAAATAAATATATTTTTAATCCACCGATCCAATATTTTTTCTATTTTTAGATACTTTTCTCTCAGTGTGTATACGTGCGTGTGTATGTAACATCGTTTATTTAATCGCTTTAGTCGCATTTAATCGACACATTGGTGAGACTTTATCGCGGATAAATTGACATATTAAAAAGAGAAGAGTATTGAGAAATGAGTATTACTTTTTGTTTACTCTCGCAATCGGCTCGCTGGCGCGAGAGTGTATTTATATAAGAACTTGAAAAAGATTTCAAAGAAGTTTTTGTTACCTCTAACGTTCCTTCCACGTACCTGCGAGATGTATGCGAATGAATCACCGGTAAAATTCGAAACGATCACACGGTGTTGTCGACGATAATCGATGCGACACATCGTGTAACACAAGAAACGCCGGCGGCCGTACAAAAATAACCTCTTCCTCCTCGAATTGAAATATTACGTTAAGCCTTTTTATAGTTAAGCCTAATTACACTACATAGTAAGAGCTGAGAGAGAAAAATTAATTTAATTTCAACGATAATAATATAATCCACCCTTATTTTTATCCTGATGATATCTTTAATTTCCGTTTTCGCTGTTTTAGCGGCAAAATACATATACCAATACACGTTAAAAAACACATCCAAGACACCGCGCGCACAGAACATTGTGGCGCAGAACATTGTCAGCGCACGGCTCGCACGCACGCAGGTTAGCGACCCGACGCGATACAAGGGTCAATCTCCTTTAATCCGTCCCCGGGTAATTTCATACACCAACTCCCTGTAAACCGAACTCGACCCTTCGACACTGGTATCGGTCGACTTCTGACTTCGGATCGATCTCATCAAGGAACATTTGTTGAGCGAGCAAAGTGATTGCGGTCACCCAAGAGAGTCAGATACCACATCACGTCAGCCTGTAACTAGTCGCATGGATTCTGTAAGAGAAGCACTTTCCCTTTACTATCCCTCTCTTTCCTAACTTCTCTCTATCTCTATCCGTCCTATTTCTTTGCCGTCCTCTTTTGACCTCTTAAGACTGTTTATTCGAAACGTCGTATTTCGAAAGGAGAAACCGGATGAATTTTGAGAAAGCGGGGAAGCGGAACAAAAAAGGGGGAGTGAAGCAAGAGACAAGGCAGTCGAAGATCAGGAGAGTTGTGGAGGTCGTGAGGCACAACGAGACCCTCTTCGTGTTGGCGGGTTGTTAACGCCGGAATGGCGAAGTTACAGATTGCCGCAGAAAGAGCACGTCGTTTCGCCCTTCTTTGTCCGCTCCATCTGGCCGCCCGGCGGCGGATCGAACGGCCATCCAGAAACATGCGATGTACGTCGGGGGTGTTCATTTCTCTTTACGACCATCGAGCGATCATTTTTATTACGGGGAACTCCCGTCGGCCGAGAAAGCAACGACGGGCAAATCCCTTGCGCAAATGCCGCGCGATGATACGCATTCGTATTACGCTGTTATCATTAATTCACGAGTTACCTCGCGGACATCGACTTTTCTGACTAACGGGAAATATTTTACAGGATGTGTGTGTAATAAGCACAATTAGCAGGGTTCCTCCTCTTCGGAAATCCGGCCTTCCCTTCAGCCTGAATCGAATCCGTCGAGATTTTCTCATTTTCCCACTTTGAAGCATCTCTGTAATCTTGGTAACTAAACTTTTCTAAATTTTTCTAACCACGTTTCTAAGGACACTGACACATATGTGTGCGTTTAGAAATATCCATATTTCCCTTCTCAATAGCATTTCACCGAAGAGGAAATTTAATTACTGAAAATGTTTTCGCGAATCACTCGTAATGCGTATAACCATCGACGTCTTAACGTCTTTCTTCTCATTTCGAGAGAGAGAGAGAGAGAGAGAACAATAGTTCCGAGCACGGTAAGAATACACAATATTTCGAGTTTCGTTTAAAGTGTCGATATATCGCGCAAATGATATTACCGTTCGTTTGCTTCGATTTCCGCCGGCGCGGTTTACATGATGTAAACGTTCCTAACGCGAAGGCAGAGCAGAGTATTGGCCCTAAATTAAATCACGTCGATTTCGCGCGCGGATCAGGTGAAAAGCGCTTACACCGCTGTCCGTGTCGGCGATATTAAAAATAATGGCGTGTATGAAAAGGCGAGCGTATCAACGGCGGCGGCGGCGGCGTGCGCGGAACATTGCTGACATGTGCGGAATTTAACGACGTTTCGAAAAATTCCGTGGACCATTGATCCCGCGTTACTGGTTTGTCGCACGTCCCATCTACGTGGCGTCGAAGGTATCGCCGTTTTATCGTCCAGTCAGTAAATTCTCTTCCTCGCCGTCGGGCATGGCGGTGTATTATACTTTCTCGCCGGACGTATCGCGATAACTCAAAACTCCTTTCCCCCTCGTCTCCCCCTATTCGTTCTCCCATGCGGTAGCACCTCGTCGAATAAAATATTCCCGCGATATCGCGCTGGGCAGATCCGCGATTGTCGCTACATCCGATCGCGCAGCTTCCCTAGATCGCGCAAATCTCGCACGGCCTGAAAATTCGACGTGTCGAGAAAATCATTTGCGAGGGAGCGCATGCTTGCTATGTTTTTCGAGTCTATTGCGAAATACCAAATTCGCCGTTGTTGCATGACGCGAAGACGTTGACTGGAAAAATATTCGAAATCTCGTAAATATCGGATCGAAGCGAGCACCTCGGCATGATGAGTCATCATAATGTATTTATTAATCAAACATCGGGCTAAATATCTCATTATTTCGCGGAAATCGTGATTTATTTTTCAGCGTTTCTGTAAGACACCTTTTTCACATCGTTCGTGAATAATTATATAAATGTGCTCCTATAATAATTATTTTGAAACGATCTCACGTGCTCATAGACGTCGTTTAATGCACAGGAATATAATTTGGTAATTGCTGTTTGGGCATTCCTAAACTTTTTGTAACCTCGCTTCACTTTAAAACAGACTTTTCATCGTTTTATTAGATTCCATTTTACAGCAATTAGAATTTTTCTCTTAGTGTTGAAAGTTCGGAGCGTTGAAAATTCAAGTGTTTTTCCTCCGTTGATTTTATCTCTAAGAAATTTGCAAACTGTTCAATTAACGGCGCGATTGACGTACGGAAAGTAGCGTGTGTATCGGTCTCGATGCCGGTCGTTATCGATCGTTACGTCGATATGTCGCCGCCAGTTACAAAGTGCTCGCGCACTCGGAATAATGTGAATTTGCGATTCCGCTGCTACCCCGGAATATCGACCACGGTGCGTTTAGGCGAATCCCCTCCCCCCCCCCNCCTCCCCCCCCCCTTCTCCTCTGGAAAGCTCGACACGTGTTCTTGTCCTTTCCCATCGTTACCGGTGCGCGTCGGTAAATGAAAGTAATTGGGAGCTGATCTGAAAAATCAAATTTTGCGAACGCATTCACCGGAATTTACGAAGGATTTTAAATAGCACTCTGACTCGCTTTCCCGTTTAGGCAACAAAATCCTTATAAGCGCGTAATATTCTTTGAATATTATATGAATATTGTTCAATATTAAAAGAATATTCCTATAATATTCTAAGAATGTTATGTAATATTTTTTAATATTACAGGAATGTTCTATCGATGTTATATGTA